GTGACATCGGCGTCTTAAATCAGAGACAACAGCCACCATCCCTCAACAACGCTGCTGCATAAATCATCACAGCAGGGTTTCTCTTTGGAGAGGAAACCAGAGAGACATTAATGGTAAAGGAAATCCAGTTAAGTATATCTTGTTAGTAAAACATACAAAAGCAGTCATGATAGAAATCTTTTTTTTATCACAAACAACCATCGGATCTTTCTACCATTCTACCTCAAGACAAGAAATCCAAACATTCTTTTTTTTCCACATTAAGATGACTTTTCTTCCATTCACCTGGACGGCTCCAGAGCTCCTTAAGTGCCACTAAACTCTCCAGGATTCAATAACTGTCTGGCACTCGCTGTGACCTCATTTGAAAGGCCCTCAGGACCTCAGCGGCTGCTGTCAAACGCCGCTGTTTTCACTGAACGCATTTCTAAGAAAACTATGTGTCGCCGAACACCACCTGACATAGAAATAAGTCACTTTATATTTATATTTGTTGATGCAGAATGCAATGAATCGTAGCAACAGGCAAAAATAAATATGAAAGCAGTATTTTTAGCCATGTTAAGTTTAAGTTTAATTTGTCCAATACAATAATTTCCTTCATAACCAAATACCTGCAAAAATAATGTCATTCCCATAAGCCTCAGCTGTACTTTGTGTTTCGTGCTAATTAGCAAAAACAAAATGCTAGCATGCTAAATTAAGATGAACATAGTGAAAAGAATACGTGCTAAACATGCTCAGCATTTTGGCATTAACATTAGCATGCATCAGTGCTTAGCTAGCACTGCCGTAGCCTCACAGAGCCGCTAACTCTCTCGTCTTGTGAAATGATTGAGGGAACGACATGTAGCTAGCAAACAATGGAGAGTAAACAGGAAAACGTATAAGCAAATCAAATAAATATGCGTTCCAAACTCCTTTTCTCACCCCACTAGCGGCATTGGTCCTAGGGTCGGGTCCACCGCTGTGGTCCAGATTGAAATATCAACTGTTGGATGACTTCCCATGAAATTTTGTGTGGACATTCACGGTGCCCAGAGGATAAATCGTAAAGACTTTGGCGATCCACTTTTCATCTCGCGCCGCCATTTGTGGAAAAATGTGTCCTCCTAAGTGCAAAGTATCTAACGTTAGCATGCTAACACCCCGACGTAAAAACACTATCTGCTTTATTTAAATAAGTTGTTAACCACATTTACTGTATATAATTGTTTGTTTTCATGGGAAGGAAACTACAACCTGAATTTCATTATACAGCCCTGCGCTTTAAAATGACAATTAAAATACCCTGTATCCTTGTAAACATCAACATGTTAGCATTTTCATTTTGAGCAATTAAGAATGTGGACGATAGCATTTAGCTCACACAGACTGTAGACTTTAATTCATTTTCATTATCTTAATTTAACAGATGCCCTTTCGAAAAAAGGCACATGAAAATCTAATTATTGGAAACTTGCTGGTGGCCAATGACTTGCTTTCAGCTATCGGTACTTTTCCACATCAATAGAAGCATTGGCAAGCGTTCTACATTACCCATCAGGCTACTGCACTCAGCTGTAACCAGAGTCCATAAAGGAGAGAACCTGAGAAAATGTACCACTGTCAGCCTCGTGTAAAATGTCTGACCGAGATCTCTCAGTCTCCGTCCGCAGAAACGTTGGGAGTCATTTGGCGTATAATGATCTATATGATATCGGACGGGGCGAAATCTGGTACGGAGCAAGAAGAAAAACACTGGGCCAGATTCCTGCCATTTAATATCCCATTAAAGGGTAATTTGGCATGAAACCCCTGGCATGTGTGATGGAATTCTACTGCTCCTTGTGTTCAATGAAATTCCCCACGGGCTTTGGACTGTAGGTGTGTGTGCGTGTGGATGTTTGTACTGGATGTGTGTGTGCATGTGCTTGTATGAGGCCTGTGAACGGTACATGAGTGTTTGTGTGTGTGTGTGTGTGTGTGTGTGTGTGTGCAAGTGAGTGAGTCCTTTCAAGCCAGCAGAAGTGTAGTTTTCCACTGGGGTAAATCTACACTCTCCATCTCCTGCCACGTCTGACTGCCCTCTGTAGTCACAGATAACACTGTGGGCTCAACAACAGCCAAATGGCCCATTAATGGACTTTTAGCCAATGGGATAGTGGTTGCCAGGCACGCCACTTTTGCTTTGACCAATCAAAATTGTTTTACAGGGCAGGAATTCGGCAAAAGAATGTGCCAAAAGACACCTCTTTCTTTCAAGTTCACATTCTTTTCCTCCCTACTGGAAATGTCAGACATTTTCACCAAATGTAGGGGGAGCCATCCACAGAGCTTAAACCTGATTTATTCTGTCTTTTTTCTCAGATACAGTACAGATTTATGCTACTCAGGGAAACAGTTTTCTCTTATAAAAACACAATAAAACTATTTGTAAAAGAGGAATGTGTTCACTACAAAAATATCTGGAATGCGCAGCCACAGGAGAAAAAACTTGCAGAGGAAATGATGCAAACCCGAGCTTAAAATTATTTCTCTCTGCCTCCCTCTTTCATTTGCTGTCTGCGTCGGCGAGATCAGATGTGGAATTAAAATTTCATTTTCCCGACTTTTCTTTGTTTCGTTTGTTCAACTGGGCGATCGCATCGGAGGGCCCCAGCAGGTGTTCGATCCCATGAGTCAACACCGCCTCGGAGAACTTTCCATGTGTGGATTCAAAAGCTTCTCTTGCATGTAACAGAGTAACACTCCTGTAAAGGTGCCAGAGCCCGAGAAATCCAAGAGGGAGAGGTCAGCGCCAAGAAATTATATTAACCATAGAGATAAAATAGTTACTCTCTATTAAAAACAGCAGGCCAGCCAGGTGAATTAATCCTTTTTTGGGGGTTTCTCTTATTAAAGTCTGCTAGAGAGGGAGTTATAAGTCTCACTTGGTCTATCCTTCTCTTTCTTTCGTTCTCCATCTGCGAGTCCCAGCAGGTGCTTCAATGTGAAAAAGCCCGATGTTCGCCCGGGTCACAGGGTTTCAAGTTTTTCGATCCGTTGATGCATTTCATGCAGTCCCCACACACACGCCCCCACCCTCCTTCACGCTCACATAATATGAAACACATTTGCCCATATGGGAGCTTTGAATGAAACACAATAAAACCTGCTCTTCCCTGAGCAAAGCCCTCGTCCTCCGTCACTCCATCACCTACACCTTCAAATCCGCCCCCTCCAGGTCCTGTCCGTGCTCAGCAGAAAGTGAAAACATTACTATTGGTTATGAAGTGAGCCTGAACAAAGGCCCAGTGTTCTCAGCTGAAGAGGAGCTTGGACAGATCTGACCTTGATTGTTCACAGCTCCGACGGGTTGTGAAAGTCTTTGCAGAGTTTTGTGATTTGCGAGGGCCTGACACTAAATTCACAGTTAAGAGAACACCAGTGTCAATTACATCACTGTGAGACATTTGAAGCTGGTTCAACTTAAAACTTTCCCCTGCTGCCTTGAGAATGTGAATCAACTGGAGTAATTGGCTCAAAGTCAAAACATTATTTAAATGTAACACAAAGACAACATATGAATCTACTCCCAGGAAACCTGTTAACAAGCAGGACACACATCAAGTTTCCATTATATATTCTATTCTTCAAATGACAAGTGTCTCTAGAGAGTTTTGACCCTCAAACAATGCATGCTGGGAAGTCTACTAATATACTAATGCTTCTCTTGAATTTCTCTTTAATGAGTTATGTGAACACTCTGCAGTACTTTGACTCCACTCAAATTTTAAATCACAGGACTTCAACTCATAATTCTAAGTTTTGAAATTGTCTGAAAATAAAATGTTTAAGTTGAATTAATGTGAAATTAACATATTTCCATTGAACCAATGAACAATTAGTTGGTTGCACTAAATTCTTGTATCTTTTGCAGTCATTACATCCCATTTATTTCTGTCTACATCTGCTCTAGATTTCCTACAATTTTGCAATTTTGCTGGGGTTTTTTAACTTTATTTGGATGTCTATTTTGAAAAGTTTACACTGCTGAATCTAGCTTAAAATCAACTGCTGTACAACAAAGATGCCCTAAATAAAAACATGTGCTAGTAATTAAGTCCGTGAGGCGACATTTTTTAAAGGATTATTTCCTTCCAGTAAGTGTCAAAACCCAGAAACAGAACATATTGTGCAAAAACACACATCTGGGTAAAAAGAGACAGTAAAACAGTAGCTTCATCTGACTTCATCTCACTGACACCGGAATGTGTTTTTCATTCTGTAGAAAAACTAATGATAGAAAACGACTTTCTCTGAAGAGAGCAATATGAATAATTCCACTGGCCACAAGAACATCAGCAGCAAAAATGTGACCTATATCAAGATGTTCAACTTTGTTTTTCATTGTTACTTTTCTTTAAAGGTTATATCCACATCGTCTAAAAAAAGAAACACATGCCCCTGTAACACACGGTCTGCCGACGCACAAACACACTGCCCGTTTGCCTTGCCCCTGCTCTCTCAGCAGGACCTCATGGCAGGATCAAAGGCATGCCAAACAGTAGTCTGAAAGTGAGCATGTTCCACATGGCCTTGTTGTGTCTGGCCCGCTAAAACCTGGTCAGAGGAACTGGCTGGGGGGAATTCCTTCTCTGCTCGGCTGCAGTGAGTGAGAGACAGCCAGTGTGAGTGTGTGACAGTACATGAGCTCCTCCGTTGTGGATATATTATAAATATATTTAAAAGGCTCACTGTATCCCTTTACTGCATCTCCACTTCAGTAGTGCAAGAATCACATTCGGCAACGCCATATTAAATGAAAGTGTGGATGTGGAGGAACACAGTGTGAGAAGGCAGCAGCTGTGTAATATAGAGAGAGGCAGAGAGGCAGACAGTTGGAAATAATGGACCAGCTGCAGGAATTAAAACAAAATGTGCAGATGGAGGGGACAAAAAAAGAACAAAAGTGAAGGATGTCGTGTGTGTGAGGGAGACTCTTGAAGGGAAAGAATGCAAGAAATGTGGCTCCTTACCAGCCCGATAAACAAAGTTTGCCTCAGCCTCAGAGGAGGACGGCGAGAGCAGCTCGTCGTCGTACTCGTTGGAGCTGAAGGAGCCGGAGTGGTTCCTCTTGCGAGCGTCCATTACGGCGTTGGCCACCATGACGTGACGCAGCGAGTCGTTCAGGTAGCGATGCAACAGGCTGCTCTTGTACTTGGGCGGAGACACGTAGTCCTCGGCCAGTGAGGCGGCCTCGGCGGCCGAGCGCAGCCCCGCGCCCATGCCCATGCCCATGCCCATGCCCATACCCATACCCATACCCATGGCCATGCCCACCATGGAGGAGCCCTCCTTCTTGATCACGCTCTGGTACATGGGCTTGTTGAGCTCCTCTGGGCCGCTCTGTGTCCTCTGAGGGTTGTCCCCATCTACACCATCAAGGGGCAAAATGATAAAAAAAAATCATTTAGTTGCAATGCAGAAATAAAGGGCTATCTATCTTTCATAGTGTTTCTGTTTGTTCACACTCACACTTGCATAAACATAATTCAAGTGAACCTATTGTCACAACTTAAATAAATGCATGGTTGCAAGATAAAACTTTTAATTTATTGATTCAGATAAAACTTTTAAGTTGCAAACATTATTTTGATGAGTTGATGAGTTTATGACATAAATAATGTGGGGAAACTACAACAACAACCACAACAATTTTTATGAGCAGCCTAATCAACTTAAAAACGTGTAACGTGTTATCAGATATTAAGTAAATGATCATTAAAAACACCTTTGATTGAAGAGGAAACGTTAATTCCCCTATCCCAATGTAGTACATTTGTTAAATATAATTTAATTAGAAGTTGCCATAACTCAAAAGGATTGATGCAAACAAATTTTTTTTTTCTTTAGCCAAAACATTTGTTTTTAGAGTCTTCCTACTTCTTCTGTGCCTTTTTTCTCACCTCTAACTTAAAACTGTTTGTTGATATGTGTGTAAGTGTATGTGTTGTGTTTTCAGAAAGTTTGCATATATTTGCAGATATAATGAGTTATTCTTGAAATGCAATTTTTTTTAATACACATTTGATTTGCATCTATATGTCAAACCATGTGTAATTATTTGTAGACGACGAATGCTTTTTAATAACTGTATAACTACAGACATCCATTTATATCTCAGCACCTGTATACCGTATAAACTCCATTAGAATTTTAAAAAGTTTATTATTGCACACTGATCAACCGTGAATACGTTCATTGAGACGAGGTAGCAATCAAATGCATTTTCTTCAGCAAATGCTTCTCCAGCATTGCACGTTCATCCCCACTGACTCACAGTCTGGTTATTTTGAGCTAATCTTGAATCTAAATACCAGGGCAGGGAGATTTCAACCTGGCGCTCCTGCCCTCCTGTTGGCATCGCCTCAAGAGCAGAAAGCCCAGCCGAGACTTAAGACGCATTACCAAACCATAACGGATGGTAGTCTATTTCCTCTCCATCAAGAGCACATTGCCCCGCTATTCCCCTACAGAAATAAATAATTTCCAGGGTGCTCTGCAGCCCAAAGATTGAATTAAAGCACAGGTCCCTACCTGATGAAAGGAACAGGGAGGAAAGATAAAACACTGAAAAACCAGATATCCTCTGGCAGCAGGGAAATCAGGGAGAAGTTCACTCTAGTTACTGTCCCTGCCAAGACTGTAATTTTGTAATTTGGGAGGTTGGACATTTGATTCAGTCTGGGCCAAATTAAAATTATAGCTCCCACATATCAGAAACACATGGAGGTAGCGTACTTGCTCTCCTTCCCACTGTGCCGTCTGAGCTGGATTCCAGCGAGCGCTTCAGCCTCTCCTGTGAAACCACACAAGCGATAATAAATCTGACCCGTCATTATAATCCCAAGACAGTGCCCTTTAATATCTAGGTCTGCCACCTTTGTAAATACTACTTCCTTTTTCACACCTACAGTACATGACAGCGTGGCCTCTCCAGATCACATGCAGAGAACAGCATTTTCTCTGTCGGACTTGCTACTGTAGCTACAAAACAAGCTGGACCATTTCAGGACAGTAAGAGGAATGTACGCCGAGTTAGAGGGGTCAGGTCTGGCCCCATAAATAGCCTCTGGAACAAAAGCATAGGCTTAAAAACATAATGGAGGGCCTTTTAACGCATGGGTCAGAAGTGTGAGCAGGCTGCGGATAGCTTCATAACCATAATGTGACAGGGAGAAGAGTCAGGGAGATATACAGAGCCTCCGGTGGTACAGTGGCCTGTGGCGGACACAATGCAAACACCATGCGCACATTCCTCTTCCAGCCACACGCTCAGCCTCTCCTCCTCAAAAATTTAATTAGAGATCACTGACACCACAGCGCTCTTCCTCTCTGTTCATTCTCTCACTGCATGAGTATGTATGTTTTATATTTTTTTTGTTTCCTGACCATGTTTTCAGTGCTGTCAGTGAGTAGAAAAAAGCAGTTGCTGTAAATACCAGGCTGACAGAGAGCTACTCATTTTCAATTGCAGGCTGAGAGACAGAGGTTGGCTCAGCGGGGTGTCTTAATGACAGCGTGTCGCAGGCCGCCGGCGTCGGTGTCTCTCGGCTGGGCTCACACACACCATTTATATACATCCAGAACATGGCTCTGCATAGTATAAGCCTGCTTTAGGACGGGCACAGAGGGAGAGGCCTTTGGCCTCATTTCATGTTATTATGCTAGATTTGAATTTTGAAAGAAGCATGATGTAAGGAGATTTCCTGGTCACTCTGTACAAAGAGCAACAGGTTCACACCAGAGTGTGTGACCAATTTCTAACTGAGGGCTGAGCCATTTTGCTGCGATATCTTTGAAGTGATCATCCATCAGACTGATGGATAGAGCAGTTACGCAAATGGAAAAGTTTTCCACCATGCTTACAAAACATACATGTTAAATCCTGCCAATCAACAAAACCAAATGATTCAGAGTCAGAAGTAGATTCAAGACTATAATGCAGCTTTTGTTTTCATCTAGAGTCAGTTTCAATAGAAGAGAACTGTAGAATAACTCCAAACCACCTACATCCCCATTACAAGCAACCAGAACTACAGAGGTCAAGGGTCACAGCCAAAGGTCAGACAACTAGCACTACTGTTGTGCTAAATAAATAACAATATTGACTCCTAACTGCCTGTTCTTACTGATCTCTGCACTATTTATAATAATAAAATGGAAGCTTCATTATATTTTTAATTTGACACAGGTTTATCAAATGATATGGTAGTAAATGGATTAAAGACAAATGTGTGTAGGAATAGGTATCGTGTAATGGCAGTAATCAACTGAAATAATGAAGATCCATGAAGAAGAACTATAGTCTGACACAGAGCTAGTGTTATTTGTGAAACCAATAAAAGAAATATAAAAAGCTTCTCAGTGAGAAGGACACTACTTTCAGGGAGGCAGGGAGCGCTGAGTAAACTTCTCTCTGCTGTTTTAAAGGGGCACTGCAGAAATTCAGTGTTATAGTTTGATACATTTGGGGGGGCTCAAAATAGACAGGAGACAGATTTATCTGTGCAGGAGGGTCTCTGGTGTGGCTTTAAAAACGCTGGATCCTAAAATTCCCATAATGCAACACAAGAGAGTCTTTCATTAAACTCTTCTTGGCTCCTACATGCCCACTTCTTTCAAACCCCATATTTCCAGGGTGTAATGCAGACTTTCTGTTATAGGTTTGGACTAAACAGCCTGTGAAGAAGGTCTGGGGCCACAGAGCAGTTGCCCATTTCAGTAGTGGAGCTGTGATACAGGCCGTTTGTGAATTCTCTACCGTCCTTTTTACAACACAAACCTCTTTTATCTTGGAATGCAACTTGGAAGAGAGAAGGAGCCGCTGCTCGCGCCGTACCTTCTGAGCAGCTGTCCTCGCTGCTGACGCTCAGCCTCTCGGCGTTGCCCTGCACGTATTTGTTGTAGAGCTTGATCCTGAGCGCCCAGCTCAGGTCTGGCTGCCTCACCGTGTTCTTCAGTCGCCTCCTGGCATTGGCAAACCAGTTGGAGACCTGAGAGAAAGGGAGGAATAGAAAGAACACAGCAAATAGAAACACATGTTATTGTTTGGACTCCAAACACTTCCACATCCATAGCAAAACAAAGACTATCCTTTAAGAAAACGTCTGCTCCCTGCCTGCAATCAGTCTCATTCAGAAAAACCAAGAGAGACTCCAGGCAAAAGACAGAAACAGAGTCAGGTTTCTTAAAGCACTGAGCTTTAAGAAACATCCCAGACGCTCCAGAGAGACACCCCAGCATGCATCTTTTCTGTATCAACGCCATGAAGAAGCGTTTAACGCCCTCCAAACGGCCAACGGCCAGCAAACGCAACGTTTCATTAACTAATGTTCCGAACGAGATGTACGTCCCCCGTGCTTATTCTGGACCCGCACGCCTCCCTCCAATAATACATTTTTTCCAACACTGTCTTCAAGACGCAATAAAAAAGACACTTGAGCCGGCGCTCTTCCTTTCACTGGGAAGGGAGACCATTAGATGTTATACTAGAATAACTTTTCATGCTCAATAGACTTCCAGCGGCTTATGAAGGGGGCTAGGACAGGGGCCTTATGCTAGAGTACTTATTTTTCTGATCCCCTCTTTCAGTATCGCGTTTCTCGTTAACTAAGACCATCCCACATCCCTTTGTCTCCAGCCCAGCACTGTGGCACACCGGGGGGAAAGGCGGCATCTAGTACATGTGGCTTGGCCCAGAGGGGAGGCGAGGTGAGGTGAGACGAGGCGAGGCGTGGGACGGCTCGGCTAATGAGGACTGGAGGAAAGATGGCTGTCAATGGGGTGAGAGAAGAGAGAAAAGAGAGAAAAGAGAAAAAAGAGGATGGCACGCCTGCTCAGATGACACCCAGAGAGATTTTTTTGAAAAAGGGGGGAGCCAAACCAGCTCTCTCACCCATGGCCTGTCTGCGCTGTATGTGCCGTAGAGGAGACGGCATGCAGGCACGGCGAGGGATTTCGGCGGTGATGGAGAGATGGCAGTGGCGTATTAGCAACAAACTTAAAAGAAATAATTTACAACATTTACATGGAAAAAAGGGGGCTGTTTTTGCTAAAACATGACAGATTTAGTTGCTTTAAACACCTGGTGCCAGGTGGGTGTCTTCAGGGGAAAATGGACAGGAAGTGATGCGTTGTACATTACTGGCAGTGGCAGCAGTGGTTCGTTTGGACCAAACAGTGGAAGAACTGGGTAGCTCTGAGTCTCCGTGAATGGATAAGCAAAAGAATGCCACCTAGAGCCGCAACTAACAATGATTTTCATATTGAATCAGTTGGTTATTATAATTATTTAGTCTATAAAATGTCAGAAAATAGTGAAAAACACCCATCACATGTTCCCAGAACACAAGATGATGTCTTTAAATATTTTCTTTTAACTGTATGTCCAAAACCAAAATCCATTTTATGTAATTTACAGAGATTAAAAATAGAGACAAGCTGCACATTCTCATATTTGAGGAACTCACAGCAAATTTTTTTAAGCATTTTTTTCTTAAATGATAATTGACCTCGATCAATTAGAACACTTTTGTTTCGATTATGTGACAATAAAAATATCATAACATAAAAAAAGGCGATGAAAACATTTCACCTGCCTGTCATCTCCCTTGTTTAATTTCAAGGAATCATCCGCCGACCTTTGACACCGCTTCAGGTATTTGGGTGTCAGCTTAAATGTATGCGTGTGTGAGGTTGTGTGTGTGTGTGTGTGTGTGTGTTCGCCGGTGTCCAACACAAAGCATTCCTCTGCACTCTGCTCGCCCTCACCAAAACAAACAGCTCCATCAGGCTCCCAAAATGAGAACCAGATTAAGCGTCGTGGCCGGCGGCCCAAGAAAGCCGCCGCAGACTCTGTGAGGCCGTATCAGTGACCTTGTCAGCCAGATGATACTGTACACACACAGCTGCAAGTGCCAGACACAAAACACACTCATATTCACCGCTGGGTTTCCCTCTCAGTGGTCAGTTTGTCAGGCGCTACAGTCAGGTTGTCCACTGTACTCATGTATTATCAGTAGAGGGTGCAAGAGATCTTATATATTTAACTACACCTAGATTAGTGGTTCCCAACCTGTGGCTCAGGACCATCCAGGGGCCTGAAGATAAATGAGAATAAAATACATTTCTGCTACTCATAAATGGGTTGATTTTTCTCGATTTTCTGAATAATTTTACCTGTTCACGCAACTATAATTTACAATATACAAAAATTGAAGACATAAAATCACTTTTTTAAGAGGTCACAGGTCAAGAACAGAATAACAAACTGCAGCATTTGTAAGACGGTAGGAATAACATTAACCACCTCTGCACCAGAGCTGTAAAATAAACAGCTCAAGATGTAAAACCACTTTCTTCTCGCAGCCTCTTAATTGCAAATACACCTCAAAATCCAGCTTTTCAGACCTGATTAGACAGAAACTCAACCATAGAAATCAAATTTCACTTTTCCACCCCTCACCCAACGCACTCATGCCTGCACGAACACTAAGAACCCCCTCACTTTTCTCACTTTTGTTAGCCTCATCTTGTCTCTATCAGCAGGAGGTTTAGACTCACCTGGACCAGGGTCATTTGCGAGCCGAGGGCCAGCAGGATTTTCTCGGTCTTGGTGGGGTAGGGATTGTCTCGGTGCTTGTAGAGCCACTGCTTGAGCGGCCGCGCCATGTCCTGCAGGGCCTGGCGCTTGTGTCGCACTTTACCGCCGCTGGGACGACCCCTGTGGAGGAGCAGGAAGACTAAATGTCAGCCGACTGTAGGGAGAACTGACTGTACAAGATAGTATAGAAATGCACATGCAGATAGTTCATGTGTCAGTGAATTATGGGGCACATTTTGGTGGGTTTTAGCTTTTTTTCCACATCTAAATCTTGATTGTTTGTTCTTTTATCTAGCACATGTATCCTTTTTTTTAAATTATGTTTTTTTTTACTTATAATGTGCCATGAAACATGCAGGATTTAGCCTTTCTTTATAGGTGCAAGAAAGGTGATTTGACACGTACCCATTCTGCATTTGTCAGTAACATCATGCTCATTATATCAGGATAACATGTTGGTGAATAGTAAAATGTCCCTTTTTTCAAATGAAATCTGGGAAGGCTATAAAAGAGAACCAGGATTATGTTGTTTATTGAAGTCAACCAAACAATGTTGTGCAGCTGCAAAGCGGAGTCCTGAGCGGGCCGGCATGTTGTCTGAATTCGTTAGTCATGACACATAAAGTGAACACTCTATACAGTGTGCAATTTTCTCACCCAGAGCACTGCAATTAAGCTTAAGAGACTGTTGGATTAAACGAGAGAGAGACACAGCGAGAGAGGCAGACAGAGGCAGGGAGAGAGAGAGATGCGGCCGCTCGCAGTTTATTTTTCATTGCGTGTCCCACAAACCGCCAACACGTTGCAATGAAACAAACAAAAACATCTTGCTCAGGCGTACTATTTTTTATTTTTTTTGCCAGATTAACATTTCACACCCAGGAGAAGTGGATGAAGAACAATGTAGCTGGGTCGCAGTCACAGCCAAGCCATCACACAAGGGACTGACAAAAAACTGAAATTATACTTCTGGTTTTCCTTTACAGAAAAGGAGCATGACACATGTCCAGAGGATGCTATAAAAACATCACAGCAGGGGTGGAGATCAAAAATATATATTGTGAAATCCCAAATCAGCAACTCTGTGGTGAACACAGCTACTAACAGCTATTCTAAAAATCCAGTAATGATGTTATAGAACACCACAAAATATTGTGAAATCACTGCAGACTCACTATTACAAACACAGGCCCTGTGAGTGCGTAAAAGAACATCAAAACCTTTTTCATTCAGCTCCGTCTGAAGCAGCCTGTTGGGACTCCAGCTCTGTGAAGCACTCGGTCACACCTTAGCTCCAGGTTTTATGAACCTGTAGATGTCAGTATGGTGCTGCGCTCTGCGTCTCCCTTTATCTCACCAAAAAGCTCCACTGTGTGCAGATGTAACATATTTTAGTCTAACCTCAAGTCTGCCTGAGGTTCATGTTCTACAAATATTTTCCTTGTAATCTCGATCAGTATGAACATCCGAGAGGACGTTTTGCTCCGTGTTCTCAACTTAGGTTTAAACACTCAACCGCACAAACACACACACACACACACACCTCTGTTTAATAATTAAATGTTCTTCATTATTACTGATGCTTCCCTTGAGGTGACACAGTCACACAAGTTCAATAACTCATAATAATCTTCCTTATTATTGAAGGTTACTCCTGGAGGAGGCTGCTTAAGGTCACTGCTCTCCCTCTGTTCTCTCTCGCACCACAAACATGAAAATAACACAGAACAAATAACTTCACCTGATCTTTTCTGCCCCCTGTCACATTAAAGGAAAACAAAAAATATATTTTTAAAAATACACTTGGTCCTTGTGTGACTGAGTAGACCACACAGAGAGTTGAAGGGCACATTTATTTATTGGGAACAGATGGAGACCTCTATAAGACAGGCTACCGAACAGGCTGACCTACTTATTAATTTTAAGATTAGCTGTGAACATCAACACCTAAATGGAGACCAGATTGGGGAACGGTAAATATGAATTCCTTCATCCATCACATCCTGTTGCATTAAAGCCACATGAAAAAAGTCAGACTGCATAATCAACTTGGTGTTTCAGTCTGGAGATGTAAAACATCAGTAGTTATACTTTTAGACTCATAAAATACCTTCCATGTGTGTTTTATCTGCGCGTAAATTTCGACTTTTTGTGCGTAAATGCGTAAATTACGCACAGCTGCACAAACCATTTTATCATTATATTAATTCATCGCCAATGTAATTTTAAAGGAATGTGGCCCAAGAAGCCCAATCTGAGCTTGATATTTCTTAATTTTGCGCACAAGCTGGAGAGATAACCGCAGATCCCTGACAACAAAGCCATCGCTGTTGTCCACTCTCCGTGGGTCAACTTGTGCGGAGTGAAACGACCGCGAAATATAGGTATTCCTCATCAGTTAATCCACATGTTAATACAAGCCACACATGCCGACCGGCGGCGTTAAAAAGACAGCAGAGTGCTCCACATACCCGCTCCGCCTGTGTCTGATGGCCTGGTTGTCTCTGATGGTCTGGTTGCTGGAGAGGAGGTCTGGATGCTGCCCGTCGATGACTTCTAGATAATTTCTGCTGCTCATTTCCACCTCTTTCGCCTTCTCCTCGAACAGGACCTGGCTGCTCAGCTTGTTAAACACAATGGTGTTCATCTTTGGCTAGAATATTCCTCCCGGATTTCGCTGATGCGCAAAAATAACAAAAAAGAAAAAAAGAAAAAGAAAAATCTCCTCGGATGTGTCACAGTGTCCCCGTGTCTCTCCTGTGGAACAAGTGTGGATATTTTACAAAAGGAGAATATATATATATATATATATACTGTATAGACACTAATGCGCTCTTGAACTAAAAATATATCAGGAGAAAAAAAGCTTTAATATCTCTTTAACATTTAATATCAGTCCTAGAAAGCACGCACTTCTCGGATAAGTTATAATTTGACACCTTCCCTGCACTGTACGCCTGCTCACACAAATACACCGAATTAAACAGCATGTAGACTATCTTGAGCTGAAGCGGACCATGCGTAACTGCGCTGTTGTGCTGCGTCATTATAAGGTCGTTCTTTGTAAACATTTGCATATGCAATTCCAATTCATAACAAAGGATTTGTGTGAACTGGTTAAGCATAAAAACCCAAATAGTTGCTGTTAGTTTGGTGCGCATTGCATTGTACAGATGTGTTTGGAAATAAGCAACAAAAAGTAACGCAGACAGCCTCATTATGAGCAATATGGACAAATACATTTAATTTTATTCGTGTTCAGTAAACCCTATCCACAAGTTGGACTGTTTATTCAGTCTTCATAGAAAACTCTATTAAATGCACTTTCACTGTATTTTCTATAAACAGCTATGGAGCACAGAGAGCTCCTGCAGTGCAGTCTGCAGACTGGGTGTTTTGGATTGTAAAAACCTGATTTGAGTTTTATAAAATGCGTTTTAGAATTCCAGTACAAGCATCTTTAATATTTCTACCCAGCCTCCTCTGCACTGCGGTCGCGTCTATAAAGCCCGAATGGTTTATTTTGGTTCGCGCTCACCCCCACTTTTTTATGCAAAACAAACAACCCTGCAGGCTCCAGAAATGTGACATTTTTGTTTTTCTCTTCAGCTTCAATTTAGAATTTCCCTGCACAGGTTGAATATTGAATCTGCCACGGGGGAAAAGACGCACCGTGATGTGGTGCCACCGGCAGCACCGGCAGCCTGCTGCCAGATAAGTGCAGTACCGGGTAGGGTTGTCCACTGGAATAAACAAACATCATACTGGCAGTGGATTTTTAATTCATATTTATATTAATTATTACATTTTATAATGATTAAAGTCTGATGTCAGAGTAAAGAGCAGCGGGAACTCAGACCTGCTCATTCAAAGTTGTGTAAACTGACTTTAGGTGTGTTTATCCTTCCCTACATCCCAGTTCCAACATTAACCATCAGTGTGTCGGTGTATCTCGGTCAGTTACCTGTCCCCGGCCCCTCCTGCGTCTCTCTGCTGTTTAGAACAATAATCCTGTTTCCAGTCGCCCATGCCCTGCTCACATGTTCCCGTCCTGAGATCCTGAGCTCAAACCACACGGACCGCCGTCTGCTGCTCGGCTTTATCCAGCGGCCTGCGCACAGCCGCCCGGGACTCTGAATATCTCACCCTGCTCATGTTTCCTAGCACACGGCCCGAGCCTGCGAACATACTGTTGATGGTTTACGCCTGTTCTGGGGCCGAGGCCAGCAGAGGGAAAGAGAGGGAGGGAGGCATCACACTGCAAAAAGTGGGCTGTCTGAATCACTGAGATTCTCCTGAAACTTTACATTTTCGTTTAATATTGTCATGTTTTTTCTTGTTTTAAGTCTGGTACCGCTTTTCAATAAGGGACCATTTATAAAGGTTTCATAAGTATTATAGTTAGACATTAATGGCTTTATTAAAGCTGCAGTAGGCAACTTTTATAAAAAATTACTTTTTGTCATATTTGCTGAAATTTCCACAGTGTTCTCACAGTAGTATGAGACAAATAATCTGTGAAAAAAATCTGGTTCTTCTGGCTCGTTCTAGTGCTCCTAATGGCATTTGCAAGAATCCAGCAGGCCTGAACAAAAACAACCAATCAGAGCTGAGAATAATATAAAGACACTTTAAAAAAATAAAATTGCCATAAAATATGACCCAAAATCTGTGAATAAAGTGTTTTTGTATTGTAACCCTACAGTTTTTCCAACCTAATTCTTGTCTCGTTTGTATCTGATTAACAGTAAATTCATAAAATACAGTACCTTATATGGCTATTTTCACCAAAATCAGTGAGCTAAGTTAGAAAATTGTGTTTTTGTACAGTAAGGACCACCTCCTCGTCTTTTGTGCCACAAGTGAACTGGCTGCACGTCTAACTGAGATAACGGGGGTGCCGGGTCTGCAGCTAGGTATTTGTAAAAAAAAAAAACAGTCTGACACACAACCCCCATAACATGGCAAACTGTTGTTACACACAGATTTAACAAACGAGATACTGTTAATTAGTCTTACAGGTCAGAGGCAGGCTAGCTGTTTCTCCCTGCTTCCAGGTATTAATGCTAAGCTAAGCCGCGTATATCGTCTGTCACCCAAAGTTTCAATTAAGTCCAGTGCATGTTGCACTCCTATGGTGGGATAATCATTTTTAAACATTAATTCAAGGTGATGTTGATCGATGGGAATGGTCTCTGGAAATAAAATAAAAACATTTATAAGTTTATAAAATATAATAATGCCATAGTTGATTTTATAGGTTACCTGTTGCAGGTAATCAAATTACAAAACAAAATGAAACAACATTGGAACTAAGTAGAATCTTCTCACCACATGTGTGCATACAGAAAATCTGTCAATACTGAAATAAAGCTTGGTGGAAGTCATTTTTCTTACAGCCCCCGCACTGTGCATGGAGACTGAGTTAAACCTATCACCAACTGTCTGCTCCAGACATACTTTACAGTGTAGTAAACCTGTTTTGGATGCCTGTAAAGAATGTATCAGGTTCCTTCACTGCAAGATCACACCTTGGTTTTAATGTCCTGTTTCATTTTTTTGGTCTTTTTCTTATCACATTATACTTAGAAAACACAAGCAGTAACTTTGACCTGAATAAAGCTGCCCACCTTCTTTTCTTTGAACATCTTCAAACTGTCTGTAGCTGAAGTCTGTATCAAAAACAGATCAACAGTTTTGGTGCAACAATAATTATTCCATCAGATTTAAATCAAACACAATCTGAGTTGGTTTTGGTAAAATTAACAAAGAGAGAGAGATTCCTACTGTATATAGCCATGCCACTGCTGATTACTCCTGATGCACCCTCTCATTGACTTCCATTATAAAACCTGTCACATTATGGGCCCATGAGTCATAGGTTCTGAGGTCCTCAGCTGTGTGTTCCTTTGGGGTTTATCCAAGGTAGTGATTCGAAGGACATGACTAAGCAGTAAGAGCCATATGAAGGGTTAGGGATCCGTGTAATTATTGTTTATTTGTGCTTATTTTCATTTAACGGGGGAAGTTAGCTTTTACTAACAGCTTGTGCAAACATGCTATGAATGGCCCAGTCATGTAATCACTTTAATTAAGGCTGGTGAGAGTTTATTTGCTCAGGTTATACACAATATGTACGTTTTCTTTCTCGCCTGAAGTGAACTTGTGTTACCTCCCATGACCTTGTCACCGTTATCTAAAGCTGTGGGTCAGAAGTTCTATGGGAAAATATGGAGGCTTGTCACTACAGTATAGCATCTCTTTAATCTTAATCCACCTTCTCCAAAGCCTCTGCTTTGGCTCACTGTGTCTCTGTTTCAGACTCCTGCCTGTAGTCCAGTGTGGGCGTACAAAACGATTCAACAGGTAGGAGCACAACATAAATCATGATGTCCTGCTTCATAGGGGTTGGTGGCAGGGACTCTGCAGGCGATCCCTGTACACAGCTCTGTTTCATCTCAGGCTGCAGTTCATGAACTACCCTGGCATCTGCTTTCTTTGCCCTAGCTCTACTGGTCACTTGGGTTTGACCAATAATGGTTTTTGAAGCCTGGCACCAATAGCAATATACCAATATTTTTAGTCTGAAGTTGCAGACAGCTGAGACATTGTGCAGAGTTTGACCATTTTGTGCTCAAATGACACAGTCACTCTTGCCATGGTTAGAAAATAGACTTCTGTGTGACACCTGACTCTCTTATACCTGTTACATGAGTGAAGGGAGCTCTGGGATATGTTACCCCTTTAAATGAAAAGTTGAAGCCATAAATATGGAAATTAATGAGTGGTGAAGACTCCATTATATCAATTCAACCCATGAAAACAGTTGTGTAATGTCCTCTAGGGCAGTGGTTCCCAACCTGGAGGTTGGGACCCCCACTAGGGGTCGCCAAAGCTTCATGACGGGTTGCAAGGCTTTCTTGATTTAAAGGGGTGCTAGAAAAGTTAAAAAATATACACAGGTCTATATCTCAGCGTTTTTTTCACTCTTAAAAGTAAAGTCAAATAAAACAATGGCTAGGGAGAAGAAGAAGAAAGAAGAAGAGAAGAAGAATGTAACCCTTATGATGTCATACTGAAGTCAGCTCCACTCAAAAATATGTTTTTCTTCTTGTTCCTACAGTGTGATGTTTGATCTTCAGTTTGACACTAGAAGGATGTTTTCACATTCATCTGCTGAAAGTTTCTCTGTGCTCACTGAAAATCTGATTTTAAGGGGCGGGGATTTGTGACATCACAAATAGTTAGGAAGTCAGTCCCGGTCCAGTATGCAACTTGTACAGTGTGATGTAGAAACTTGAATCCACCAGTGCACAAACACTGAGAATGGACTTTACAGTGAAGTAGGAGACATCTAGTGTCCAGCAGGAGAAACTTTAGAAATGAAAAACTTTAGCATATTCAGACATTCTGGAGGTTTTAATGAGGTAGAAGGATTTTAATGTAGAAATTATACTATTCTGTAGAAAAACATATCAGACACACATCATTGTTCCAAGCAGCTTATTTGTCTAAATTCTAATAATAATATCTTAATACTTGTCTGGAGGGGATCTTTAACTAATTTATAGCTCACTCAGCTAGCTAGTCAGTCAGCAAGGTTTTTAGTTAGACAATGAGTTAACACAGTTATTCAAGAGATGTATTTGTACCTGAGACTGCGGTCTTATTGCCTAGAAAAACATTCCTCTTCTGTGGAGCAGTTTATATACTCTGGCAGAAGACAGTTACATAAAATTGGATGGAGAAACACGGCTAATAAGCGATGATAGCTTGGACTCTCTGGCTTCCCGCTCCCCTCAAAGGTCAGCACTGACAAGATGGGTTGCTTTTGGTCAATGGTGCAAACTTTCACATCCAAGTTGAACAGGACACAAGAGATTTGTGCGTAGTCTTTGTGAATGAATTCACAGATTGCTGTGATTCAGTTAAAATGAAGTGATTTTGCTGTGAACTTCCAACCTTTTAAATACTGTTGTGACTGAGCCTTGGCCTCTGTTGCTCCACTTTCTTTTTTTTATATTCTGTCATTTGCCATTTACAATTCGTTGTGTTAGTGTAATAATAAAACTGAGGAGTACCCCTTTAATAAAGGCCCAATTTCCAATATAGCCACATACTGATTTACATCAGTATATCAGATATCTTGCACTCTGCATCCCAACATCTGGAGCTTCGTTTTCATACAATGCCGGGAAGGAAACCTCAGTTTAGAGCCACCCTACCTCTCCCATCCAAGACAATTTAATTTGTTATACGTCAGTGTAATTTTGGGAACATGTAGCTCTGCTCTTGCATCTAACCTCTGTACATGTTTTATATACATATGTTACTCACTCTTGCATTGTTTTATATCACATCTACTGGAGTTCATTTGTATGTGGGTTTGGCCTGGCCTGCCAAAGGGGCGGTTGTAGTAAATGTTTTATTTCTCTGCACTCATAACATTTGTTTTCTTCTTAAACTTCCAATTTAACTCTGAGCTCTTTACCAAAAACAAAACACAGCACTTACGGAGGCAATAAAATCTTTCTGTTTTTTAATAAATAAAATATTGCAGTCAAGAGGCAGCAGGAGGCCCAAGATGAAGATCAGCATTGCACGGCCTCAAATGGAAGACTTGTGTCTGTTTTGAGGCTTTGAGTGTAAAATCGAAAAGCAGACATTCATTACACATCATGGATCCAGCAGGGAACACCCTGTTTTTTTGCCTTGGGGTACTTCATCATTCAATGTGTATTAAAGGATCTGGCTATGAAAGGTGGCCATTACTTGAAATCAGTGTTAGCTCAATGTCAACACCTTACGCCATTACAATCCAAATTATTTTTTAAAACCCCTGTCTCGGCACCCCTTAATCTGCCCCTCATTTAGGATGATGTTTTCACTCCAGACTTGGACTTAATTTCGACCATGTAAACCAAGTTGGAATTACATACTGTAGCACACGGACTACTTGTAAAGCCACAGACATATTTGTTCAATAGTTTGCCAGCTTTGGTGGAAAATGTGACTGAGGAGAAAATTTGCAGGTTGTTTAAAATGACCCAATTACTGTTTTCAGAAGGGTTTTAAACATTTGGGACACTAATCAGCAAGTTGAGACGTGTGCTGTCTGTCCATGTCTACTGAAAGTAATCAAGAGTCAAAACCAAGTGCC